TTATGAGACAGATATAGATTTAACTGGAAGATACGTTTATCAGGAGGTGAAAAAAGCCGACATAATAGTTTTATTTTAATCCTTGAATTTAGGCCAGTTTAAAAATCATGAAAAAATTTATATTTTTTCGTTGAAAATTACTTAGGGTAATTATTTACTATACCGTCACCGCCTCAAAATTTTTCCTACCCCCTATTTCTAAGGTGCTGAACACAAATTTGAAGTTATTTTTGTGCGAAAAAAAATTCGAAATTCTAACGTGGACATTTATTTCTCAGAACACTACGCACGACACTGTACCTACTTTATGCAGCTTTCAGAACATTGTAATGAACCGTAGACATTGTTTAAGAAACACATTTCCTCAAATTTCAAGTAAAAATATAATTATGTATTTATATTATTTCTTTGCTTCAATCCGCCATTTGCAACTCGTAATGTCATTGAAGTTCTCAGAACTACTCGCACCTAATTACCTACTGAATATGAAAAATGTCATAAAAGCTACAGGTCTAAATAAAAAATAAATCGCATATAAAAACTTGGATAATTTATTTATTTATTGATATACACATTTTTTTGTATATTAAAAAAAATTGCGAATGAATTGTTAAGAAATATTAATATACTGTTATTAATTTTTAAGTATAGTGTGTCTCTATCTATACACATATGTAATTTTTTTTATTCCTGTGGTGGTTATTGATTGACATTATTGTTTATTAATAATGTCTTCCTAAAATGTAGGTATTGTTCCGTTTTTCGTTGTGCAACAGACAATCAAAGCAAATCCTTCAGTAAGGACATCATGTTTTCCATTTTCCAAATAATGAAAACTATTTAACAATCTGGAAAAATGCTTTAGTTTCGCCAAGTGAATAAATTTTAGTGTACGGGAATATCATCATGTCTTCTAATATTTGTACATAGTTATAATGCCACTGACCAATACTCACTGATTGTGAATATATCACATTAAACATGAAGTTTCCAGTAATTTAATCGAAACTTAGGGTGTCAGGTAGTAGTTTATTAAATGACCTATTACTCACGTAGAAACGAAAAATTTACTTATGCTACACATACACATAGGTGTATATCGTACATACAACATGCGATATCAGCAGGGATGCCACAGCTACCGAAATTTCGGTAGATCTACCGATTGTAGCTTATATCTACCGAAATACCGATTTTTGTCCAAATTCTACCGATAAATTTACAAAACACTCACTCGAAAAAAGACCAAATGTAAATTAAAGTCTAGGCTTATTATCCACATTTAATTTTAAACGAAAACAAAATTTTTGCAATTCTTTGTCTGCCACACTATCTGCAAATGTCGAGAGAATTTTTTCAGATTATAATTTAACAAAAACAAAGTTAAGAGCAAACTTGAACACATCTACTATTTCTGGTTTCCTTCATTCATACCAGGCGGTATCTACAAGGGACAACACGTGTTACGAATTTACCATTGAAAAAGAACTCTTAAAGGTAATGAAGGTCATTACTTTATGGTGGTATTGGTGGTAAAAATATAGATGAAGCAGCGCATAATCTAAGGGTTAGTTCTAACCGAAAAAGCAGTTCTTAAAAATAAGTTAGTTCTAAAAGTTAAAAAGGGCAGTTGCAAAATTTGATTGCTTGAAGTACTATGAGATTGAAATTTTATGAATACTTGTTAAATGCCGGTCCTCTAAAAGGTTAATAAATAAATAAATAAATAAATAAATACATAACATAAATTTATTGAAATAAAACAATGACTATATACTTTGAGTACAGTACATGAACATTTAAAATTAATAAACTCGAAAGGATATAACAAAGAATTAGAGTTTATTGTCCGGCATTTAAAAAATACTGCATCTTTTTTTTTGGGAGGGGGGCTTTATGTTGGGAACAATGTTTTTCGGGCGCTTTCTTTGAACTAGCATAGAATGATAGATTTTGGGTAGTTCTTAAAATTCCTTAGATTATCCCCTGAGATGAAGTGGAATAATGTTCACTTCGATGTTTTTATTATAGTTGTATATTATATTATACAGAGTGTTTCAGGATTAAGTCGACATACTTTAATGAGATATTCCTCATAAAAAATAAGAAAAAAATCAAGTATAAATTTTCTTCCAGAGACGCTTCATTTTCGAAATATAGGGCGTTAAAAGATTTTTTTTAAAATTCGATAAAAGTCCCGCAAGCAACCAGTGGCGGAGTTATGGGGACTCAGACTCATTAAATTATAAAAAAAAATTAATACGGCCCTTTGCTGAAAATAAAAAATGATGCTGTTTTTAGATAGAACAGTTTGTTATTGACAAAAGTGTACATTCACTTTTTTCCTAACTCTTATAGTTTCATGGCAAAATTGATTTTTCGGAAGGGTGCTTCTGGATTCTGTCGATAAACTTTAGGAAGTCGTTCCTCATAAAACCTAAAAAAATATAGTACCTATTAAAATTGGTCTTAGTCTCGAGTAGGTGTGAGTCAAATAAGCCTTTTTGTCTCCCCTTCCCTTGGGTTTAACCAATAGTATTAAAATTATTTAGGAGATGCTTCCTTTTTGAGATATAGGATGTCTTTTTTTTTAGAAAAAAAAAAAAATGATGATGAAAACAATTTAAGTATCTAACATCTAATGTGACTATATCTTAATGCGACAACGTAACGACCCTTGCAATACTCCTAAATTTTTTCAGGCGATTTGTAGTCACTTCATTTACTTGTGTTGTGTACTTTTAAATAAAATAAGATGGCAAACAATACATGAAAATTTATTTGTAAATTGAAACAACCAAAAAATTACCAATTAATATTATATCTAGACAAAGCGAAAAGTGAATCAAAAATGAAATGATTTAAAAAATATTTTGTTTAAAATGGGCGCCTCCGGAGTGTAGACATGCACGACATCTTCTAATTATGGAGGTAGTGGCCGATCGACACTGAATTTGAGTTATTCTCAACACGCTTGGACTATTCGCTGTCTTAGATCTTCTAGGGTATCAACTGACACTTCGTACACTTTTTGTTTAACAACACCCCAAACGAAATAATCCATCGGTGTCAAGTCCGGTGAACGTGCAGGCCACGCTACAGGTCCTCCAAGACCAATCCATCTCCTGGGACAATTAATGTTTAACCACTCCCTAGTATCTCTACCAAAATGGGCAGGACAACCATCTAGTTGAAACCAACTGTTCATTCGAGTATTAAGCGGAACATCTTCGAAGAGATCTTGAAAACCATTTTCAAGGAACTCGGTAAACATGTCAGCATTTAACCGATGCGGAAGGAAGTAGGGACCAACTATAGTGTTGTCCAACACACCCAACCATACGTTACATTGGAATTCATGCTGAAAACTATGTTCCCTTACCGCCCGTGGATTCTCGTAGGACCAAATATGGTTGTGGTTTAAAATTCCCCTTCGAGTAAATGTTGCCTCATCTGTCCACATTACTTTTTGCGTAAACTGATCATCATTCTCTGCTTGGTTTAACATCCAGTCACAAAACACTTGCCTGCATCGTATGTCCTGAGGCAATAAATGTTGCACACGCTGAATATGGTACGCATGGCGTCCAACAGCTCGAAGAGTCGTCCAAATGGAACTTGACGAAATACCTAACTCATAGCTAGATCTTCTGACACTCGTGGATGGATTTTCATCGAAATGGTTTAAAATAGTATTCGATCTTACTTCGTCCTGAAGTGGGGCAAAATGTCCATCAGCACAAGTTGGAATACCGAAAGACCCAGTTTGTCTGAGACGACTGAATGTCGTTGAAAATGTTTACTTTGCTGGTAATCTGCGATGAGGAAATCTTACTGCATATTCACGGCGAGCCGCCGTGGCATTTCCATCAGAAAAACCATATACAAAGACCATATCAGCATATTCATTGTTCTAAAATATGGACGGCATTATTAAACTTATTAGTTTGAACGCTTTATCTAGATAATTTATGCAACAATTCGCAAAATAACATTTAAAACGTCAAATTAACATTGCTTGACTGCAGCCTTCTCGAACATTTTTGTTGAGGTTCATTTTAAAGTTTATCGACAGAATCCAGAAGCACCCTTCCGAACAATCAATTTTGCCATAAAACTATAAGAGTTAGGAAAAAAGCGAATGTACATCTTTTGTCAATAACAAACTGTTCTATCTAAAAACAGCATCATTTTTTATTTTCAGTAGGGCCGTATTAATTTTTTTTTTATAATTTAACGAGTCTGAGTCCCCATAACTCCGCCACTGGTTGCTTGCCGGACTTCTACCTCTATGGAAAAATGGTATCTTATAAGAAGATGTGTCATTCCAAATTTGGCTTAAATTGCCTTCTTCATTCAGAAGTTATTTAAAAAATTCGATTTATTTTTTAAATCTTTAACGTCCTATATTTCGAAAATGAAGCGTCACTGGAAAAAAATTTATAATTGATTTTTTTCTTATTTTTTATGAGGAATATCTCTTTGAAGTTTGTCGACTTTATCCTGAAACACCCTGTATAAGTAAAACTATCTTACTTTTTGTCAATGTTCTTTTAGAGTTTATTTATACCTATTTTATTTATTTATTTATTTATTTATTTATTTATTTATTTATTTATTATTGTTTTAAGAATCTGTTCTATTTTATTTTGTTTTTAACAACGGTCTTTTAAATCATCATAGAATATAAAATATAATATTTTTAACTCGAATTAGTTATTACTTATTATTTATATAAAATACAAATCTACCGAAAACTTAAATACCTATATGATGTTCATCTGAAATATTTTTACTGTTTTCACATATGAATTTAAATTTTTTTGTAGTAACTGACGCAATTGTTTGATTTTATAATAGCAGCGAAATTTTATGATGAAGCAATGCACTAACTTAAAATTTGAGGTTTTAAAATGAGAAATCCTAAAGGTCAGTTTGGCTTCTTTAAATTTTAAAGTTCTATTAAAGATTAATCCTAAAAACAAAAATAGTCTTGTTACCTTAATGTTGGATAAACTAGCCATCAGATCGTCGAGTTCTCTGGTAGCCGTTGATGCAGCGGGAGTGTGCGCAGCTGTTGTGTACGAGGAAATTAGTTCGGTTTCTCCAGGATATCCAGTTTCCGTTTTCGTTTCTTTGACAGTAATCACAACTTTTTTGGGACCCGTATAAATTACGTCACTGAAAAAAAATAACAACATCACAAATAAAATTAGAATCTCCACAAACTGTAACATTTACATTGGGCTGAAGTAAACAAAAAAATTACATCAATGATATTGTTAAAAAATAGAGATACGTTTGCAGTTTACAATAATAAACTTTACATTCTGAATCGTCAAAAATATAATAAAAATATAATAAAATTCAGAATTCTATTCAGTACGAAATGCCCACCGACATTCTTTTGGCAATAATATTATTCTTTACCCAAATTGCAACACCACAAAATTGTTTTACTGATCTGCAATAAAAATATATTAGGCAATAATCAACAACATTGAATGATTACGTTATTTAACAATTTAAATACATCAGATATGTGTGCGTTTATAGAATAATATTTAAACTCATCTTTTTTAGTTTTTATTTTGGATATTTGTTTGTGTATTACTAGCTGCACCCTGACACACAATATTGTATAGCATTCTAATACCTATTGAAAATTGCTCAAACAACTTTCAGTAACGTGTCGAGCATAACCCACAAACAATAAAATCGGCTAAAGGATACATATTAAGATTTTTACGAAAAAAAAAACGATTTTTTTAAAAAGTTTGACACCCTGTTGAAAACGAAGCACTTAAATAACACTCTGTACCTATACAGGGTGATTCACTTTAAATACAGAAACTGCAGGGCTAGATTCATTACCAAAAAATGAATAGAGTTTGCTCTATAAACTTTTTTCCCGCGGAACTCGGTATTCGAGATACAGGGTGTTAAAGTTTACAAAAATATATACATTCTTTGCAGGAGGTTAGAGTACAAGTGATTTGTGATATATTTCCTAAATATACCATATTCCGAAAACGCTTAGTTTCCGATTACAGTGTGTTAAAGTTTTAATAAAAAAATGCAAATTTAAAAATATTGCGGAAACCGCTCAGAATATATTAATAAAATTTTACAATATGAATGAATATTTTTAAAGAAATGAATGCTACGCCACTTATTTTTCTTAAAATAAAAATTATTTTTGAATTCCTTTGAATTGAATCGACAGTTTTTCTTATGACACACCGTTTTCGAGTAAATAAATTAAAATCGATTTATTGCATGGCGTAATCCGGTTTCAATAATTTGAAAAATAGCCGAAATTATGCACTAAGTTTTTTTTGTACCAATTTTACTACAAACAATTATTACTCCTCACAGTCAACATCAGTCTAAAAAAATGTATCAGTTTTTAGAATCACTATTCACTATCTTAAACAGAAATTAGCATAAATGTACTACAGCGTATTCACTTAATTAGACCTTTTATTGAATGTAATATTAATTGTGGCTTTAACCAGTGGTGGTTCCGCTCCATTTTTCTAAGAAAAAAATACGCCACTGGCGGTTTTTGTAACAAAAATAATGTTACATTTAGGTAGGTACTGTTATGTTAAATGAATGAAAAATGTTTCTTGGTGTTTTTTAATAGTAGCAGCCGTTTAGGAGATATTTGGGCTTGTTTTTACGTTTTATTGAATTTTCCTTAGAAATTAATCCGTTTATCTGATGAAAACCTCCTGGTTTTAACTAGTGACATGCTACTAAAGTTTCCGCCAACTTTTCCCAAGAAATGAATACATCACTGGCGGTTTTTTGTGGAAGTAATTTTATTTCTGGAAAAAATATTAAAACTAATAACATTAGCAAATATGTAGATCGATTAAATAAATAAGTAACGAGTCCTACAACAATTGTCCAAAATGAAGTCCTTCCGCATCGATACATTTTTGACATCTTCAAATCTATTTATAGAGCAACTTATCATGACTTAGTCACGACAGTTCATATTGAAAACAGGGATGTCCGCGCGTGAATTACCTAGTGCGTTTATAATAAATAATTTTATAATATTGTGGAATGATTACCCGGTTCCGTATTAAAAATCTGGATGAGCTCTGGCAAATATCGGGAACATTACATATGTACCGACAGTACAGTAGATTCTTTAAGCGATGTCCGCAACGGAGAACAAATTTTCTTATATAGCTAACGAAAACGATTGGTCGACATCTATTATAGGTGCATATTTGAAGTAATCCCTAAAAGCAGTTAATGAATCCGTGAGAGCACAATTGCTATTGAGGTCTGGAGAAATCTGGATTTTTTTAAGGCATATAGCAATGTTTGTATGTCATCTACTATTTACAGTGATTCATCTAACGATAATGCAGTATTCTGGGTTTTTTATAGCGTCCGCAATTGCAATGTGTAATTGTTGTGAATACTTTATACAACTGTGCTTCAACTCGATCATCTTGAAATTTTATTTGGCTCTTCCGAATATACAACGGGTTCTTTGGCTTCGAATTGTAAAATTACGGATTTTACTGTTTTGAAAATGTTTTAAAAATAAAATTATGCCTCTAACCATGTCTCCCAACGTGTAAGAATATGTTGTGGAGGTTCTGGAATGCCAGGACACTGTTGGTCCTAATTAATAATTCATCTACATTTGGGTAACACCGACGAATTGTTTCTACTACAAGATATAATACGTGCAGAAACAGTTGTTTGTTAGTACTTAATTTCGACATACCTATGTATTTAATTTTTTAAGACACAGAAAAAATCTCGTCGCTAAAGAAAGAACAAAAAACATATATCTGATACTCTGCGGCGATATGACCGGATACTACCTACCTTCTACCTACTGCTGTCACTACTACTACTACCGATTTCGGTTTTATTTGTTATTATAAAACATACAACTAAAACAGCTGATTTAAGTTGAAGCCAACGCGCATGCGCCAAGTGTCGCTTGAATTTTATTCTAAAGGGTCAAATCCGTGCAGACTTTCGTGCCGAAGTGTAAGTTGGTTGGCAACAGGGTTGCCAGATTTTTTTTTCCTAGTAGCCAAACCAATATTGAAAGTAGCCCAAAATAGCCTGATATCTAGTAACAAAAAACATTATTTATAATTTTTATACATTTGAAGTTGTTGAAAATAAACTTAACAGTCTTGAGTAAAAACAGAATTTATATAAAGATACTATTCTAACATTCGATTTGTACAGATTGCCGACACTGGTAAAAACTCGAAATAGCCCAAATTGGCGATTGGCTATTTTTGCTTTTTTCAAGTAGCAGAAAGTCATCTGAGATAGCCCAATTGACGATAAGTAGCCCAATCTGGCAACCCTGGCTGGCAAATTGATTCTGAATGCTTTACTCCCCACCACAGTGAGGCCACAATTTCGTTGCCTATAAGCGCGTCACACTTGCCTGTAAATATGCTATGGTTCCCCCTCCACGTCAGTCGGTTAATATAACGTCATTTGACTAGAAGTTATATGAATCTCATATGTATAACGTGCTTACTAGTAATGGGCATAATCGACCAATTTTGATAATCGAGTTATCGGTAATCGAGTACTTCTAATAATTGAGTGATCACTCGAGATACGTGATATTGGTCGTTTTCATCCCAGCGGCGCACAAATATGTTTGTATTAGTCATATATTACTTATAAGCGTAGCTAAAAAAAAAAAA